TTATCACAAACTCTCTTTTCATTGAGAGAATGTTTGGACTTTGATGGATCAACATATTGGTAGTGTTAATCAACATCAAGGTAAAAGCAAAGATGCTACACATAACACATGATAACACAGTGCAAAACATCTAAAAGAGCTATACTTATTTAGCTACTTTTATTAAAATTTCATTTTCATGTATAAATCTATTATAAGTAAAATATCATTTGTTATTTCTTTTCGCCAAAGAATAGTGTAGCGTCGAGTTCTTCGTTTCGTTGTATGATTTTGCGTGTGACGATGACTCAATCGACTACACAATAATTTTGCAGTTTTGCTATGAAGCCAACAATTGACTCCATAGTGGAGCCAACTTTCTATATAACAAATAAAACTACTATATTCTCTACTTACTTAAATAACACTGATATAATTTTATTAATATGGTATGTTTATTTGTTGTATATAGAAGGTTAGCTCCACTATGGAGCCAACTGTTGGTTTTATAGTAAAATCGATAACTTTGTTGTGATCTTTGTTTTGTTGTATGATTTTGCGTGTGATAATGACTCAATAGACTACACAATAACTTCGTTGTGATCGTGCAATTACATGAGTTAGGTCCTATGCCTGATAGTTAAAAGACAGACAAAGAAACTTGAAAAGTTAGTTAAAGATTTGGTTTTTTAATCTTAAAAGAATATTATAATGTATAATTTTTTATTTTATTTTTTTAAATCCATATAATAGCTTAACAAACAAGAAATCATACAATTGTTGTGCTAATTAATAATGTCAAATAAATAATGACTTTTGGTAGAGGTATTAACTCCCCATTTATTTTGCAAAAATTGAAACATTTTTCGATCATCTCTAGATATATACTACATGTAAATATATTCCCCTGCCCACGGAAGGCAGTGCCCACTAGTTTGTTTTATATGAAAAATGTATTCTGAGAATACGTTTTTCAATTAAATTACGTTTTTCATATAAAACAAACTAGTGGGCACTGCCCACCGTGGGCAGGTGAGCGGGCCTGATACTACATGAGTATCACTTCTTTGAGGCAGTACTTTTTTTTAAAAAAAAAAAATTTAAATCGAAATGTTATATTAAAAAAAAATCATAAATATTAGTATGACATTTTATAAAATATGTATGTATTTTCATTAATTAATAACATCTACAAAATCATTAATCCCAATAGATGACTTGTAATTGGCCTTGTATGATGATTGGAGTTTTGGAGTTAAATTAGAAGCTTGATCCGTCAGAATCTCTACTTTAAATATTCGACACGTTGCAATTTAAAATATTTTTTTGGATAAAAAAAAGGTAATAAAAAATTGAAATTTAGTATAATTTACATATCAAAAATTATATTTATGGATCAAAAGGAAATAAAATATTGAAATTAGAGTATATTTACATATAAAAAAAACAATTATTTTTCAAATGTTTATGCATATTAATCAATCCAATTAGATAGTCCATACTTTGATTCTATTAATTCGGTTATTTGTTATTAGATAATTGAACAAAAGAAGATGTTATGGTCTCATTGCGGAACCATTCCATCGGAATTTGTAACCGGTGAATAAATTATTTTTAACATTTATATGATGATCTAACGGTTACAAACCCTAAAGAAATGATTTTGTAAACGACATTACAAACTATCAAGCTAATTGCCACAACAAATACTACCTCCTATTCTTTTTAAATGTCATTTTGGCTTGATCAACTATTAACTAAATAAATGTCGTTTTGGGTCTTTTGTACATGTTTTCTCATTATTACCCTCATTGAATCAATAAATACACTACGTCTTTTCATATTCACTTTTTAATTTTTCTTAAAACATTCATTTTTATCTTCATTAAATAGGGTTATTATTGACAACAAAATTATTTTTAATTATTGTGCAACTTTACATTTATTTTGAATAGAATGGAGTATTTAATTCATGGCTATACCTTCCAAAAACTGAAGATTATCCACAATCTGTGTACATTTATGGAGGCTTTATCCAAAAACCCACCACCATTAGCAAAAAAAAAATGGAGATTAACAGAAAAATAGGAAATTTATAAAGGGCTCCGAGAAAAAGGCTGATTGGACCCTCTACCGGACTTTCATCTCCACTTCAAACCAAGAAACAAGAGAAATTAAAAAAAAAAAAAGAAATCCCCTTCACTCAATTCCGTTTATTTTCTTGAAATCGCGGTTAAAGATTCAATCTTGGTTGTGTTTTCATTTGTTTATTTGAAGTTGAAATTTTGTTGAGAAAATGAAGGGGGGAATGGGGAAGGTGGCGGTCGGGGCGGCGGCGATCGGGGCAGCTGTTGCGGTCGGGGTGGCGGTTCTCCTGGTGAGGCGGCGGATGAGGGGCTCCGGCAGGTGGGCCCGCGCCATGGCGATCGTGGACGAGTTTGAGGAGAAGTGTGGGGTCCCGTTGGGGAGGTTGGGGCAGGTGGCGGAGGCGATGACGGTGGAGATGCACGCCGGGTTGGTGTCTGAAGGTGGCAGCAAGCTGAAGATGCTGATCAGCCACGTCGAAAATCTCCCCACTGGGTAAAATAAATGATGTTTGTTCTTCGATCTGTTTTGTGTTGAGATGAAAATTATGAATTGGTGATTGTTTTTTGTCTTTAAAGATTGTGAAAAAGATTTTATGGATTTTGGGAGTGTGCATTTGCCATGAGATGTAAGGTATGAAGGGCCTGATTCCTTTTTTTATTTATCTTTTTATTCTTGGCTGGGATAAATGATCTTGATTGATGTGGTGCATTTTATTAAATTAGTTTGTGGACAAAGAAGCTCCCGTTACGGGACCATTCCGTCGGGGTTTGTAACCGTACGTGATGATCTAACGGTTACAAATGCCGACGCAAAGTAAGTTGTCTATCCGTCTGACACCTTGACTGCAACCCCTTGCTTGCTCGACTAAAAGGAGAGGAAAGATTACATTGACCTCTCCTTTCGCGCCCTCATGCGTGTACGAGTTCTTACGGTCCCAAGGCTTGATATAATTAACCTTGGAAGGGAGTGGTTTGGGAGCCCGCTATATGGCGTGCAACTATTCCTTTTTCAAGGGGTGGGTTGGGGGCGGAGCCTAGTGTGGGTGCTATGTCGGATTTTTCCCTTTTTTTTTTTATCGCGGGGCATTAATGGTCTTAGCTCGAAGGCTTGAGCCGATAGGTAAAGTAGAGGTGGGTCTTATCATATTCCCATGACAAGAGCACTTATGCGACGGAACGGGACCATAGCATTTCCCTTTAATTTAATTGTTTAATATCAAGTAGGTCACTTTATCAAATGATGGATTAAGTGAAAACTTATACATATATCCCGATTTGCAAATGATGTTTGACTTTATCTGATTTGTTTTTTTTTTTTTGGTTAATTAAGATTTTACAGAGGCCAAAGCCTATCCAGTTAAAGGAGAATTTATATATCCATTACAGTGAACATTGTACCATCAAATTGTGGACGATGGAGTAAAAATTTGGTTTAGTAGCTCATTGGCTTGTTGTACAACGAATGGTGGCGTTTGCTTACTTTCTCTAGCAAAAACTATGGCTAAGCCAGTTATCTCTTTCACGGTTTGCCTTTTCTCAGAGATGAAAGAGGAGTTTATTATGCACTGGATCTTGGTGGAACAAATTTCCGAGTCTTGAGAGTCCAATTAGGAGGTAAAGAAGGAGGAATAGTTCATCAGGAATTCACCGAGGCATCAATTCCCCCGGAGTTAATGTGCGGGACTTCAGATGTAAATACATCATTTTCCAAGATAGTTTCTTTCTTTCTTCATTGAGGTTATATTTTCTCTGAGATGTTTGAAACCAATAATAAATGCTTTTGCCAGGCGCTTTTCGATTATATTGCTGAAAAACTCGCGAAATTCGTTAATGAAGAAGAACAAATATTTCATGATCAACTTCCCGGAAGGCAGAGGGAGTTAGGTTTCACTTTCTCATTCCCCGTGATGCAAAATTCGATAAATAGTGGGACCATTATTAGGTGGACCAAGGGTTTCTCCATTGACGATGCTGTAAATAATTATCTTTTTTCGTTGCTTTTTTTATCTGAGCTTATTTATCTTGGTTTGCTCTGTTAGCTCGTGTTCTTTCACTTACGTTGATTATGTTTGTGTCTATAGGTTGGCCAAGATGTCGTGGCTGAACTTGCAAAAGCTTTGCAAAGAAAAGGTGTTCAAATGCGTGTGGCAGCTCTGGTGCGTTTGTGTGAAATTACAAAACCATCCTCGGGTTTTTGTCTAATTAAAAAATTTATCTCCAGTTACAAATTTCCCTCTCGATCAAAACTACAAATTTTTACCTTCATGCATTGCGAATATGCTTAGGTTAATGATACGATAGGAACATTAGCTGGAGGAAGATATACGAACAATGATGTTGATATTGCCGTTATTTTGGGAACTGGAACTAATGCTGCATATGTCGAACGTGTACAAGCCATTCCAAAGTGGCATGGTCCTTTGCCTAAATCTGAAGAAATGGTTAGATATATTTTTTTAATCAATCTTTTCTCATCTGCAGTAATAACAATAACAAGAATAATAATAATGTAAAAAATGATTATCGAGCATTTTAAATCTTCCGTTCTTCAGGTTATAAATATGGAGTGGGGTAACTTCAAGTCATCTCATCTTCCACTTACCGAGTATGACCACAGATTGGATGCCGAAAGTTTAAACCCCGGCGAACAGGTTGTAATATAACTGGCACATTTTTCCATTTCACTATAGTTGTTGCATTTATTTAGTTGAATAATGGGATAATGATAGGTTATTAATTATTATCCTCGAGTTTTAGCTTAGTTCTATCAATTGTCTGCTATCTGTTAAAAGAATCAATACATGAAATCTGTTTATTATTATTATTATTATTATTATTATTATTATTATTATTATTATTATTATTATTATTATTATTATTATTATTATTATTATTTGTGAATTAGTTGAATTTGATCCCTCTCCACAATTTGCCATGTATTTTGTCATTGGTAATTCAGAAAAAAAGGTTTTGCTTCGTGAAGGCCATCCACAAATCTCCATCTGATTTATGAAGTTCGTGTGTGTATTCTTTCAGATATTCGAGAAATTAACTTCTGGAATGTACTTGGGAGAAATTTTACGGCGAGTTTTGCTTAAGTTGGCTGAGGAAGCTTCCTTCTTTGGTGTTGGAGTTCCTCCCAAACTTAAGACTCCTTTCATTTTGAGGTATGTTGAATGAGTATAATGAATGAATAATCTGTGCCACTTGAATTTTTCTCTTCTCATGTAACAATGCCTGGGGATTTTCATTAGTCATTACTAAATTCAATATAATTTTTTTTTTAATAAATCTTTGCTCGGGTCAATTTCCGAATTCACATCAGTGTTCGTTACTCAATTCGATGCAGATGATGTTTTTTTTTTTTCTAAATCATTGCATCCGAATATTTTCTTTCAAAAGAAAGCTTTAGCAGTGCATCATTTGGAGTATTGACTCTGGCTAATTTTTAGTACTTTCAATATCACTATATATATTCGATACGATTCGATTCTCAATGGTACTTAATACTACAAAATATGCAGAACTCCGGACATGTCAGCAATGCATCACGATACATCGTCTGATCTGGGAGTGGTCGGCAGCAAATTGAAGAATATACTAGAGGTGATTTTTATTTTTATTTTTTTATGCTTTTTCAATGACTTTCTCACTGCTACACAACTTTCTCATATTTTCACTTTCTCAATCAGATATCCCACACCTCACTGAAAACAAGAAGAGCTGTCGTCCGCCTCTGCCACATCATCGCGACACGTGGCGCCAGGCTGGCAGCTGCTGGGGTCCTTGGGGTCCTGAAGAAAATGGGAAGGGACACTTTGAGAGACGATGGGAAAAAAACGGTTATAGCCATGGATGGGGGACTATACGAGCATTACCAAGAATTCAGGGAGTGTTTGGAGAATACATTACAGGAGTTGCTCGGGGAGGAAGTTGCGCAAAGCATTAGAGTCGAGCATTCGAACGATGGCTCGGGTATTGGGGCTGCCCTCCTTGCAGCCTCCAACTCGTTATACGTTGGTGACAAGTCATCGTCATGAGAAAATGGCGTTGAGCCAGTTGTAATTTCTAAATGCCATGTGTGCACGCCACCCGAAATCTTTACTTTTTTTTTTGTTAAATTTATGTTGGTTTTTTGCCTTTGTTATGTTTCATATTCAATGCAATGGTTTTGAGAGTTTGCCAATGTTGGTTTATAGTTTATGTTTATGTTGAGTTATTTGTATTTTATAAAATACAATAGTATTTTATAATTTCATTTGTTTCACGGTAAAGTTTTGCCAATAGAAACGATGTAGTTCGAAATGAGCTGTTTTTTTGTCCTAAGAAACGTGTGCCACGTTAGTGCCATGTCAATTAAATTGTCGGACATGTTGGCATCGGTCTGCCAATGACCGAGTCGATGCTTCGTTTTTCAAACAAATCAAAGGTTGGGTACCGAAGTGCCAAAGTTAGGCCTGGGACTGGTTCGGTTCTTAACATATTTTTCAAGAACCGGAACCAGAATAAAAAACCGGTTCGGTTAACACCTAAATATCCGCAGGAATCGAAAAAGAACCGAACCGAGTTATAGAGGTTCGGTTTTTTTGGTTCTTTGGTAACTGAATGATGAAAAATAACTGACAGTATCCGGTTTTAAATTAAGAACCGATAAAAAAATTGCAACTCATGAACAAAAAGTATCATAAAAATCGAGAACCGAATTGCAAAAGTGAAGAACTGAGTAATACATACCAAGAACTGGAACCGAATCACATATATATAAACATATAAAACATGTTTATTTCATATATATATTCGGTTCCTCGGTTAATATCCATATATTTGGAAGACCCGGAACCGGTTTTTGTAAAAATTAACCGGAACTGAAAATAAAGTTTTTATTTTTAATAACTGGACCGAATAGGTTATTTTGGCTCGGTTTAGTTCGGTTCTTCGGTTTTCAGGTATAAAATCTCACCCCTAGCTAAAGTCTCAAAGTCGTGACATAAGTGCAAACATCGATTTAAGTGGTGATGTGCAATTTTGCTCATATTTAAAGCTGTTATTACGAATTTTGTGAGTTATGATTTCGACAGTTCGACACTATTCTAAACATTTGCATTCTCCCAAAATCCGTCCTCAGCACCACGCGCCGCCGCTTATGGCTCCACCTCCCATCGACAAATCCGCCTCCAT